AGTCATGAAGGGGCCAAACTTTCCCTCATGCTGGCTCAGGAATTCTGGTAGTTGAAGTCCACGAGTCATAAAAGAGCCAAGGTTGCCTATCCCTGGCCTATACCATCTCAGACAAGTGACTGTCTAGCCCAGGGGTAGACAACCTTGGCTCTTTTATGACTCGTGGACTTCGACTCCCAGAATTCCTGAGCCAGCATGGGGAAAACTTTGGCCCCTTCATGACTCGTGGACTTCAACTCCCAGCATTCCTGAGCCAGCATGGCTCAGCTTGGAAACTTCTCTCTTTCCCCTCAGCATGGCTGGCTCAGGAATTCTGGGAGTTGAAGTCCACGAGTCATAAAAGAGCCAAGGTTGCCTACCCCTGCTATAGGCCAAGGCACAAGAAACGCTGTAACCTTGTCACTGAAGTGGTACCTGTTTAGCTACTTCAGACATGTCAAACTCGCGACGTCACGTGATGTCGTGCGACGTATCGGGACTGTTTTGCCATTGCTGGCAATGGGGTGGGCGCGGCTTCCACGTGATGCGTCCGGCCCGTTGGCCGGCAGTTTGACACCCCTGATCTACTTGCACTTGCACGTTTACAAACTGCTAGCTTGACAGGAGCTGGGGCAAGTAACGGGAGCTCACCTGTGACACTTGGGTCTCGAATTGCCAACCTTCTGAACGACAAGCCCAGCATCCTAACTGCTAGGCCACCTCCACCCCCCTTTCTCTTTTAATGTAGCCTTACAATAGAGTAGAATTAGCTCATTGGGTTGTTTTCTGTCTGGTCTACCTGGAAAGGCTGACATCTTATGAGCACAAGTGGACCCCCTCTTCTGAGTTCTGCTCTAGAAGGCAAGCTTCCGATTGTCACTGACCTACCACCTCCAATGGCTCCTGGCGCTGGGCACCCACCACATCCTTGTACTGTGCTGCCAGCCTCTCGCCCAGACTGGAGCCTTGGGAGACGGAGAAAGGCACGGTGGTCTGGCCGTACGGATTTAAGGTCAGCTTCAACAATGGAGAGTCTTGTGGTCCCGGGAAGGTCTTGGCGGCGATCAAGGCAAACGCAGTGAAAATGAGAGGCACCAAAAACTGGGCTGCTACCATCTTCCAGTTGCGCCAGCTGTACACAGCCCTCTTCATGAACATGGCGTAGAATTGTTGGCAGCAGAGGTAGAACTACAGGAGGGAGGAGAAGAGAGGGTACATTTAGGCAGGAGAGGGAGTTTTCTGCAAACACTGTATTCCGGATGGTTAGAATCACCCAGAAAAATGTTCTTGAAGTCATAGTGGATTTCAAAGGAGGACTGGAAGAATTTAACGTAAAATTAGGAAATGAATTCATGCACTTATGTCTTTTGCTCCTCCCCAAAGCTACCAAGACGGGTAGTTCTTGATCTACAACCATTTCTTTAATGACGGTTCAAAGTTACAATGGCGCTGGAAAAAGAAAGAGACTTATGGCTGATTTCACCCTTACGGCCGTTACAGGTTCCCCATGGTCACGTGATCAGAAATGGGATGCTTGGCTCCTAGTTCATAAGTATGACGGTTGTAGTGTCCTGGTGTTACGTGATCATCTTTTGTAAACTTCCGATGAGCAAAGTTAATGGGGGAGGCACAGTACAACTGCGTTAATAACTGCGGTGATTCATTTAACAATTGGGGCGAGGAAGGTTGTAAAATGAGGCAAAATTCACTTAACAACCTGTCTCGTTTAGCAACAGAAATTTCAGGCTCCATTTTGATCGTCAATCAAGGACCACCTGCAATCTAGGCTGCCAAATTTTGGCAGATTTCAAGCAGGGGCTCCAAAGGCTATCAAAATGAACAGGGGCTACATTGAACGCAACCCAGGGGTGGGATTCAGCCAGTTTGCACCAGTTCAGCAGAACCGGTAGCTAATTTTTTTGTTGCCCAGGCCCAGAATGGACTTCCAGAACCGGTTGTTCACATATTTGAATCCCACCACTGACGCAACCCCTCAATTTTCCATTGCTGGAAGCAGAAAGTATCAGTCCACCTTATTGGTTCAAATGCTGAATTGTATTCTGGATTCACCCCTCAAAATTTGAAGAACGGTGAAAACATAGGTGGTCCCTAACTTAAAAGCATATTTACAACAGCTGCAGCATTATGGGCTCATGTGATCACCATTTGGGACCTTTCTGGGCTGGCTTCCAACAAGCAAATTCAGTGGATTTAAATAACAACAACAACAACAACAATAATAATAATAATAATAAAGTTGGAAGGTCATCTAGTCCAACCCCTGCTCAGGCAGGAAACCTTATACCATTTCGGACAAATGGCTGTCCAGTCTCTTCTTAAAAACTTCCAGTGTTGGAGCATTCACCGCTTCTGGAGGCAGGTTGTTCCACTGATTAATTGTTCTCCCTGTCAGGAAGTTTCTCCTTAGTTCTAGGTTGCTTCTCTCCTTGGTTAGTTTCCATCCGTTGCTTCTTGTCCTGCCTTCAGGCGCCTTGGAGAATAGCTTGACTCCCTCTACTTTGGGGCAACCCCTGAGATACTGGAACACTGCTATCATGTCCCCCCTCGTCCTTCTCTTCATTAAATCAGACATACCCAATTCCAGCAACCGTTCCTGATGTTTTAGCTTCCAGTCCCCTAATCATCTTTGCAAGATTCATTTAGCAACTGCAGTTTGAATTAACAGTCGTGGCAAAAACGACATAAAATTGGGTGCGGCTCATTTAACCATCGCCTTGTTTAGCAACAGAAATTCTATCGTATGTGTTGTATGTCGAGAATTACCTATATTCTCTTTGTTTTTCCCTCCATTAAAAAAGAAAAAACCCCACCACCAAATGGGAACAGGGATTGGAACCCACCCCTGTGTTCAGCTTAATGTTGGAGCAATCTTCAGTGATGAGAGCCCCGCTGTCGTCGGTCATGTTAGTCAGGCCACTCATGCTGCTGGAATCATCCATGGCCCAGTCGTTGGATCGCCGTTCATGCTGGTACTGCAAAGCTGGCAACTGGGTGGCTTGGATATCCATGCTGGAGTCTACAAGCTTGCCAACTCTTCAAGAAAGAGACCACATTCAGAATATTCCTCCCCAGTTCCTCCCATTTTATTCTCATAAGAAGCCTTATAGGATGTGATCTTTTGAGAAGGCCAACCCAAGTTCACCTTCCAAGCTCATCTTCCAAGTTCATCTTCCAAGCTCATCTTCCAAGCTCACCTTCCAAGTTCACCTTCCAAACTCACCTTTCAAGCTCATCTTCCAAGCTCACCTGCCAAGTTCACCTTCCAAACTCACTTTCCAAGTCCACCTTCCAAGCTCATCTTCCAAGTTCACTTTTCAAGTTCACCTTCCAAACTTACCTTTCAACTCATCTTGCAAGTTCACCTTCCAAATCCATCTTCCAAGCTCACCTTTCAACTCATCTTTCAAGCACATCTTCCCAATTCATCTTCCAAGCCCACCTTTCAAACTCACTTTGCAAGCTCAGCCAAGAGTTACCTAAGGAAGACCTCTTCCATTGTAGTAACTGAAGCTCCATAACTGGCAATGCCCAGTTCTTCCCGGCGTAACTCCAGCTCCGTGAACAGAGCCTCAAATCTGGAAGGAAAAGTAAGTGAGAAGATTTGAATAGTCTGATGTAAGTGTCGTTGTAGGTCCAACCAAAACTCTTCGGACACCTGTCGAGGGAAGTCCAGTCGGAATTACTAGAAGTAAAATTTTCCCAGAGAATCATTAATATCGTAAAATTAGTTATATCCTCCCTCTATACGACACTTCATTTGGTATCTGAAACGTCGGTGGAAATAGATATTGTATCCGGATTACTAGGCTTAGAAAATAAAAGGAGAGAGTGACAATTTTGTATAGAATTGGCTCCGTCAAAAAAAATTAAGGAATCGGGAAATGCTAGAGGGTGTGTGTGCATGCATGGCGAACAGATGGCTAAAGATCCTTTTCAGCTATTCTGAGAGCACCTATAATAGGGTCTCCTGCTTGCACAGGGGGTTGGACTAGAAGACCTCCAGCTTTGTTATCCTGTTCTGTTATTCAACTCTGCCTACCAGCTTCAAAAGCTTAGGAAACTCAGTTCTAAGACTAAGACCGTGTTTGTTCACACAACACATGACAACCCATATGACCAAACTCCATTTAAGGCTAATAGGGTCCTCAAACTCGCCCCATTGAGCTATTCAGGGCAGATTATGAGGGCAGTGAGTTAAGTCAAATGAGCCCTTGACCTAGATAACCACGATCAAATGTGGCATGGTTATGACATGGTGAAGTGCATTGGAGTTCGATGTGTCAGACAACCATGGTTAAGGCACATCATGCAAGCAAAACCAAAGGGATCAACTGGTGGTTCAACATTCTCTTTGAACCAAGGTAGCACCTGCAAGCCCATGTTCTCCAGGTGGATTGGACCCAACTCCCATCACTTCCACTGAGCCTTTGGCAAACGTGGACCCAACCTGTGCATCCCGCGTAGTTACTAAGGGTGAGATTACTTGTGTGTGCTCTCATTGGGCAGGATGAAGGACAGTTCTGCCCCCGCATTGCTTTCCAGAGAGGCGTTGGGGACATAATGATAGATGAGGTGGGAGATCTCTCCAAGATTACAATAGGGCTCTTTCACCATCACCATGTGGTACCCAGCACCTGAAAAGGAAGAAAGATATCGCCTGATGAGCAACGGAGGCTTTCCTGGGGTCATGCCTAGCTTTCAGGTCCTTCAGAGCTAATCTGCCTACTACACTCAGCCAACCATGGTTTGAACTTGAAAAATTTCATCAGGATTGGACGTAGTTAATATGTCAGAGTTGACGGCTAGACTCAGAAGTCAAAAATACTTTCTGGAAGAAAGCCCAAAGGTGTTTTTTTTTTTTTCACGAGGCAACTGGACTTTCTTGTTTTTCTTTGAAGACGTTTCGCTTCTCATCCAAGAAGCTTCTTCAGCACTGACTGAAGAATGGAGGAGAATGGAAGAAAGCAACGGGAAAGTACTTCTATAGCATGCTGGCTGAGGAATTCTGGGAGTTGAAGTCCACAAGTCATAAAAGGGCCAAGTTTGAAGATCCCTATCTTAAATCTAACAAACAAAATGGAGGCTGGCTGAGGAATTCTGGGAGTTGAAGTCCACAGGTCATAAAAGGGCCAAGTTTGAAGACCCCTATCTTAAATCTAACAAACAAAATGGAGGCTGGCTGAGGAATTCTGGGAGTTGAAGTCCACAAGTCATAAAAGGGCCAAGTTTGAAGACCCCTGATCTAGAGCAATCTCCTTACCATATTTGTGCTTCAGAAAGAGGGACGATCCACAGCACTGGAGTTCCCCCTTGGCCATAATGGCAATGCGGTCGCCCAGCAGGTCTGCCTCATCCATGAAGTGGGTGGTGAGCAAGATGGTGCGGGTTCTCCGCTGCTGCTGCAGGAGCTCCCACGTGGCTCGCCGTGAAACGGGGTCCATGCCTGAGGTAGGCTCATCCAGCATCACCACCTGCTCAACGCAGAGAACAGGGAGGTTGGGGTTGGCTTGAGACCAGTCTCTCGAGTCTCGAGCAGAGAACTGGGGTAGTAATAATGGAAAGAGGTAGTAGAGGCAATGGCAAACTCAGAAGGAAGAGGGAAGGGTGGACACAATCTGAAGTAATTTGATTTAGCAATGATTCCTCTTCTAGGGGAGAAAAACCTCTCTTGCCATCCCTCTCTATCATTCCTGGCTGCTTAAGGCCAGCTTACTGGAAGATGGCCGTCCAACCAAACCCTTTGCATTATATCAAAAATGTGAATGATAACATTAAAAAAAGAAGCACTAAAAAGATGCACTGTTTTCTCAATTTGGTCATGTGGTAGATATTATGAAGATGAGAGGACAATCCTTTATTAAATAAAAATGAATGGATGGATGAATGAATGAGAAAGAAAGAAAAAAAAGAAGAAAGGAAGAAGGAAAAGAAAGAGAAAAACAGAAAGATAGATAGGAAGGAAGGAAGGAAGGATGGAAAAGAAAGGAAGAAAGAAAGAAAGAAAGAAAGAGAAAGAGAAAGAAAGGAAGGAAGGAAGGAAGGAAGGAAGGAAAAAAGAGGGAGGAAAAGAAAGAAAGAAAGAAAGAAAGAAAGAAAGAAAGAAAGAAAGAAAGAAAGAAAGAAAGAAAGAAAGAAAGATGGGTGTAGGAACGGAAAGATTTAGGCTCAAATCCCTAGTTCAGTCACAGAGCTCAACTCAGTGTAATGTCTCCCTTTTAGTCCCGTCTGGTGCCACAGGGTGGTTGTGATTTGGGCAAGCTGTTGGGAGACTATTTTCAACTCTCCAAAATGGCAGGCTGCAAGTACCACAAATCAGTAACCAATGGGGTTTCCTGATCCTTCATTTACGTTTTAAATGTAGAAGGACCTTGATGGAAAAACAAGGGCTTCAACTCAAGACGGTGGAGACACTCAACCTCTCCACTCCCATCTTCTCCCATTGGGAAGGCAAGCAAGTGGTCCCCATCCACTCTGCAAAGCATCACGTCCGACAGAGTCTCTCAGAACCCCCTGCACAGGTGAACAAGGATGAAAGGAAGGGGCTTAGCTGAGACTCACCTTGGAGTCCCCAATGAGCGCAATGGCAATGGAGAGCTTGCGCTTCATCCCTCCAGAGAGGGCCTTCGACAAAGTCCTACGTTTCTCTTGTAAGTTGAGGATGTGAAGGATATGGGTGATCTCCCCTGGGCATTTTTCAGCAGGAAATCCTTTCAGCTGAGATGGAAGAGAAAGAGAAAAAGGTATGAGGGCCGAGCCTGGCATTATGATTATACAGGTAGTCCTCAATTTACAACGAGTTGCTTAAGGACTGTTCAAAGTTACAACGGACCTGAAAAAGGGGAGTTATGACCTGGATCTGGAATCCAATCATCTCTCCCTACCCCAATCTTCATATAACTGCATGTCCAATGCTCATCAACCGGCCTGCATTTTCAGCCATTTGCAGTCTCCTGTGGTCACCTGACTGTGTTTTACAATGTTTTTGACAAAAACCAGCATTTTACTTCTGATTTGGGGCAAAAACAGCCCAAGGTGAACAATGGGAATTCACTTTATGATCACAGCAGTCACTTAACAACAACTGGAAAAAAAATATTTTCCCACTATACTGTATGTATGGGTTCTTCTGAAATGTCTTTCACTTAGACAGTCCCTCTTTCATTTATTGGGGGTGCCATTACCTATTCTACCAAAGCTCCTGAATGCAGGACAAGAAGCAACAGATGGAAACTGATCAAGGAGAGAACCAAACTAGAACTAAGGAGAAATTTCCTGAGAGTGAGAACAATTAATCAGTGGAATGAGTTGCCTCCAGAAGTTGTGGGTGCTCCAACACTGGAAAGTTTTTCAGAAGATATTGGACAACCATTTGTCTGAAATGGGATAGGGTTTCCTGCCTGACTAGAAGACCTTCAAGGTCCCTTCCAACTCTGTTATCATTCCAATGGGCCTTGACCACTGTTGACCACTGTTTAGGCTTTGGGAAATTGTACATAAATAAATGATTTCTCCTAGTTTGGACAAAGTGGACAAGTGGCATCTGAGTTCAGAACAGACTGACAATCTTTGCAATGCTAAAGCGATCATGACAGACCATGAACAGCGGGCAATCACACAACCTCTGGACTTTGCAACCAGAAAGGCAGAGACTACAGTCGTCCAAGTAAACACTGAACTTCCAAAGTTTACCCCAGAGTAGAAGTAAAGGTGCTCTTCTACCGTCATGTGGTCAAAGAGAACATCATGCTGAGGACAAAGACCTAGACTCTTTCGGATGAGAACCATGTCTTGGGATATTTCATAGCCATTGATGTATGCCTGTCCGCTTGTTGGAGGATACAGCCCTAGGAAGCAGACAAGGAGAAAAAGGGGACACGGGTGAGGGCCAAATATAACTCCGGCCAACGTAAGAATGGGCGGTCATAAAAACCTGAATTATTTATAAATAAGTCAACAAATTTAAAACAAGGAGATGGAGGAGATGTTAGGACGAATGGATGAAATCAGCCACAAGTGTTAAATCCCACATCTTCCAATAGACCAGACGTGTCAAACACAAGGCCCAGGGGCCGGATGCAGCCCGCAAAGTGGTTTTGTGTGGCCCACGAAGCCATCCTGGAAACAGTGAGGGAACGGCCCCCACTGCCTTGGCCCTGGCCCAGGCCAGCCGGGAGCCAATGTACAATTTTGTGGTGGCCATCTATGCTGAAACACATTCAGTCTTAGCTCCACAAGGCCGTCTAGAAACAGCAAGGAACCAGCCCCTGCCATGTTGGCCCCACCCCCTGGGTGCATGCTGGGGAGGTGTCCCTCTTTGTGAGGAATGAAGAAATGGACCATGCCTTGGTGCTTGCCCCGGTCCCACCCCCTTTTGCCAGAGACCCCCAGATCTGTCCCACTCCTGCTCAGGCCCCCACAGGCACCCTTGACGCGAACGATGTAGAGCTGGCCATGCCCACCCAGTAGGCCACACCCACTCCATCCACACCCACCCAGTAGGCCACACACCCCCTGGCCACACCCCCCCGAGGGCAACCACAATGCTGATGCGGCCCTCAATGAAATTGAGTTTGACACCCCTGCAATAGACCAACTCTAAAGATAACTAAGCTAACATCCAAACTGTTGCCATGCTTTATCAGTGCAGACCAGCATCGAAACCAGCGCAGAATATTAATTGGGCCTAAAATCAACTTTGCATAATTTCTAGTTGCTGTGTTCTTTGTTCATTCCAACTGGAATAGATGATGAATTAATTTGATGGTTTTAGACACCGTTTTTTTAACACAACTAAGCCCCATTTCTTCTCCTCAGCAATAAACATAACAATAACACCTGAATTTGCAGGAAATTGCTGCCCTTTCATGCTTACTGCCCTTCCAGCCCTCCAGTAAAGCTAAGGTTTTCTTAGAATATTGTTTAAAACAGGGGTAGTCAACCTTGGCTCTTTCATGACTCGTGGACTTCAACTCCCAGAATTCCTAAGCTGGCTCAGGAATTCTGGGAATTGAAGTCCACGAGTCATAAAAGAGCCAAGGTTGACTACCCCTGGTTTAAAAGACACTGCTTTCTTTTGCTCGTATGGGACCTCTAGGTTGTTGGGAATCGGAGGCCAATGGTCTGCTTAAAGGATACGTTCTGAGTTCCAGATCTAAGGTAGCTTCAAGCCTCACCTGTCAGCATGGACAAAGTGGTAGTTTTCCCAGCCCCGTTGTGTCCAAGAAGGACGGTGATTTGTCCTTCATACATATTAAGAGTCAGGTCCTTCACAGCTTCCTTGGTTTTGCTTCCCACTTTGAACACCTGCAGACAAGCAAGGAAAAAGGATAAAGACAGAGAGAGACCCTATTTCTACAACAGATTCAGCAAAAACTGCCCTAGAAGTTTTACGGTATTCAAGTTATGCTCTCAAGAGTCAAGAGACTGAAGGGGCACAAAAACACTTGTACCTATGAAAGAGAAGTTTGTAGCTGAGGGTTGAACTGTGGGGGTCCTTGGTGTTCCCTGAGCTTGGTGGCTCTCTTGCAGATATGTCACTACCAAGTAGGTAACATCATAAGAGCTACAAGGGAGTGGAGTTCGCTCTTATAGCGCCAATAAAAGACACTCTTAGGGTTGAATTGTAGGATCTGTGGTGTTCCCTGAGCTTGGTGGCTTTCTTGCAGATATGTCACTACCAAGTAGGTAACATCATAAGAGCTAGAAGGGAGTGGAGTTCGCTCTTATAGTGCCAATAAAAGACACTCTTAGGGTTGAATTGTAGGATCTGTGGTGTTCCCTGAGCTTGGTGGCTCTCTTGCAGATATGTCACTACCAAGTAGGTAACATCATAAGAGCTAGAAGGGAGTGGAGTTCGCTCTTATAGCGCCAATAAAAGACACTCTTAGGGTTGAGTTGTAGGATGCGTGGTGTTCCCTGAGCTTGGTTGTTTTCTGCCAGACATTTCATTACCCAACTAGGGAACATCATCAGTGCTGCAAGGGAGTCCGAAGTCTCCCTTTAAGGGGTCAGGAGTCCAGAGCATACCTTGAGAGGCACCTCATGTTGGGTAGATCCTTCCACGTGCCTCTCCATTTGGTGCACCCTGTAGCCGGAAGATATTTCCGCACACAGAAGCACGTATGTAGGAAGCTCTTCCAGCTATGTCAGCAGAGTCTCTCAGAGAATCCAGAAGAAGAATTCCTTCTTGAAGGATCTCTGGAGCTTTGCACATTCCATTCCAGTTTAACGGGAGATCTATAGTTCCCACTGCCTTTCATTTTGTTTTGTTTTTCTGGTTTTGCAAAGTCTGATTTTTCTCAAACAAGTGCAGGCCTATTTTTCTTAGGAAGTGCTCTGAAAGTCACAGGTCTGTCCACTAAAGAATCCTTCCCCGGCAACTCACATCACTACCACTTCATCCAGGTTTTGCACTTAAGAGGGGAGCAACCAGCAGAAGAAGCTCACTGTCAACACTGCTAACATCGGATGTTCTTGCTTGACAATATATGAAGACGCAGGCATTTTCTATTTAACCTGTGTACTACTTTTAGAGTTAGAATTAGATGGTGCTGGAGGGGAGGGTGAAGAATGTGCATGGGGACTAGTTAGCCATAACAGTATCTCAGTAGAGTATTCTTCAAGGTTGGTTGTAATAAGAGGAGATAAAAAATGGCTGGTCATGGAACGGGAGGGAAAGTTCGCACTTCAAACTAATTGGAGAATGTGATTAATGACTGTTAAATGGAGGAGTGAATTATGCTTAGATACTGTGTGTTTGGGGGAGGAGAATTCAGATTTTGGCTTCTCTATGTACCTGCTGAAGCTATGTTGAAATTAAAAATTCTTTAAGGTAAACAATGCCTCAAAGTTCTTTGAAGAGCTTCTTCTTTCGGAACCATGACACCCACCTTGGAAAGATGCTTGATTTTTACACCTGACACTAGGTCTGAAGGCTCCTCTTCTATGAATTGACTTTTCAAGGCCTTCTCTGGGTCTTCTTCCTCTTCCTTCTCTTTCCCCAAAACAGTCTGGGGGCTGCCACACCAGTAAGAAGGCTAAAGAATCAAAGAGAATCCATTGTTCATTTCTGGAAAACTGACCCATGGAAGAAAGCCAGAAGGGTTTTTTTTTTTTTTTAAGTCTACAAGTTGTCTTCTTCTCTAGAGGAATGGCTTTGAAAAGACAGCAAACCATTTCTACAGGCTTTGAAACCCACTTGTCCAAGCAGAAAGATAAAAAAAAGATGCTTTTCAAACATTCACACACACAAATCCCAAAGTACGCTACTGTGAAATGCATTTCTAATCTTAATAGCCTATTGACTGATTACGTGCCACTGAGATGATGTTGACTCTTCGTGACCTCATAGAGCAGGGGTGTCCAAACTTTTTTCAAAGAGGGCCAGATTGGATGAAGTGAACGTGCTGGAGGGCCGAACATTTCTCCGAACATTCTTTGAACCATTACAATTAAATGCAAATGAATTATTTTATGCCTCTTTCCTCTCCCTCTCTTTCCTCTTTCTCTCTCTCTCTCTCTTTCCTTTCCCTTTCCTCTCCCCTCTCTCTCTTTCTCTTTCCTCTCCCCCTCTTTCTCTTTCCTCTCTTTCTCTTTCCTCTTTCTCTTTCCTCTCTTTCTTTCTTTCCTCTTTTCTTCTCTTTCCTCTTTCTTTCCTTTCTCTTTCCTCTCTTTCCTTTATTTCTCTTTCCTCTTTCTCTTCTCTTTCCTCTTTCTTTCCTCTCTCTCTTTTCTCAATCTTTTTTCTTTCCTCTTTTTCTCTTTCCTCTCCCCCTCACTTTCTTTCTCTCTTTCCTTTCTTTCCTCTCCTTTCTCTCCCTCTTTCCTCTTTTCCTCTTTCCTCTTTCCTCTCTTTTCTTTCTCTTTCCTCTCTTTCTCTTCTTTCTTTCCTCTCCCTTTCCTCTCTTCTCTTTCTCTTTCCTTTCTCTCTTTCTCTTTCCTTTCTCTTTCTCAATCTTTTTTCTCTTTTCTCTTTTTCTCTTTCTTCTCCCTCTTGCTTTCTTTCTCTTTCTTTCCTCTCCCTTTCTCTTTCCTCTTTTTCTTTCTTTCCTCTCTTTCTCTCTTTCCTCTCTCTCTTTCCTCTCTCTCTTTCTCTCTCTCTTTCTCTTTCCTCTTTCTTTCTCTTCCTTTCCTCTCTTTCCTTTCTTTCCTCTCCTCTTTCTCTTTCCTCTTTCTCTCTTTCCTCTCTTTCTCCTCTTTTCTTCTCTTTCTCTTTCCTCTCTTTCCTCTTTCTCTCTTTCCTTTCTTTCTCTCTTTCTTTCCTCTTTCTCTTTCCCTCTTTCTCTTTCCTCTCTTTCTCTTCTCTTTCTCTCTTTCCTCTTTTTCTCTTTTTCTCTTTTCTCTTTTTCTTTTTTCCCTCTTTCTCTTCTCTTCCTCTTTCCTCTAACTTTCTCTCTCTTTCCCCTCTTTCTCTTTCCTCTCTTCTCTTTCTCTTTCCTCTCTTTCTTTCTCTTCCTTTCCTCTTTCCTTTCTTTCCTCTCCTATTTCTCTTTCCTCTAACTTTCTCTCTTTCCTCTCTTTCTCCTCTTTTCTTCTCTTTCTCTTTCCTTTCTTTCCTCTTTCTCTCTTTCCTCTTTCTCTTTCCCTCTTTCCTCTCTTTCTCTTTCCTCTATTTCTCTTCTCTTTCTCTTTCCTTTTTCTCTTTTTCTCTTTTCTTTTTCTTTTTTCCTTTCTCTTCTCTTCCTCTCTTTCCTCTAACTTTCTCTCTCTCTTTCCCCTCTTTCTCTTTCCACTTTTTCTCTTTCCCTCTCTCCTCTCTTTCTCTTCTCTTTGTCAAGCCCCACAGGGCTTGCCACTCACGGGTGAGGGTTGGGGGACCGCCAGCCGACTGCTGCCGCCGCTGCCGCCACAGCCACCTGGCCCGTTGCCGTTGCCGCCGCCGAGCAGCTTGTTCACGCCGCCGTCGCAGCCGCCCAGCTCATTCCCGGCGTCGCCCCGGCCTGCGGAGCTCCAGTTATGGCCCTCCCCCCCCTCTTTTCCATTCCCTGCAGCGCTGCCTGGCGTGCCCGGGACGGGAAACCCCGAGCTGCTGTAGCCAGGCGCGAGGGGGAACGCCAGAAGCCTTGCACAAGGGGGGGAGGCCTGGCGACGCTGCGCCCTGCCGGGCGCTCACCGACAGGGCTGGGGGGGCCGAGGCTGCCAGGGAGAAACAGCCACGTGCCGGCAATCAGCCGGAACTGCTGGAGCCGGCCGGGGAAAGCTGCGGCTGGACAGAGAACCGCCAAGGATTGATTGACTTCCGGGAGGGGCGGGTCCCAACTGCCGGGACACTTATAACCACAGGGCAGATGGTGGCTTGCGGCTGGGGGCGGGGTAACAGGGCGCAGGGCCAATGAGGAGCCCTGCGAGGGGGCAAGTCCCATGAGAGAGAGAGAGAGAGAGAGAGAGAGAGAGAGAGAGAGAGAGAGAGAGAGAGAGAGAGAGAGAGAGAGAGACAGAAGTGCAAGTGCAAGTGCCTCTGTCTCTGTCTCTGTCTCTCTCTCTCATGGGACTTGCCGGAGGGCCGTGGGAGGGCCGCATTTATATAGAGCAGGGAGGGCTGCTCGAGGGCCGGATTAAACCAGGCCGCGGGCCGCAAATGGCCCACGGGCCAGACTTTGGACATGTCTGTCATAGAGAGAAGAGTTGTCCTCAACCTGGTTAACGGTCTTTGACTTTTTACTTAGTTCATAGGGTGAACTACACAGTCTCCTACTGTATAAGGATAAAAACGTAGATCCCTTAAGCGCTCATAAGATAACTCATATTAATGTTGACAAAGCAGTAGCTAAAATGTATGTACAGCTTGAATGTATAGCTTGAAATGTATGTTTGTTAACCGTTCTCTCTGATAAAAGAATTAACCCAAACATATACAACAAGAAAGAAAAAAAATCACTTCTTGTGAGATAGGCGGCTATAAAAATTAGAGAGGATAGATGGATGAATAGATGATGAATAGACAGACAGACAGATAGAGAGAAATAGAGATAGATAGATAGATACACACACACACACACACACGCACATACTGTATATATATAAATAGAGGGAGCGATAGAGAGTTACAGATAGCTATAGAAAGGTAGATAGATATAGATAGAGGTAGAGATAGACATAAACAGTGAAACAGACAGATAGACAGAAAAAGAGAGACAGACAGACAGACAAAGATAGATAGAGAGACAGACAAATAGAAAGAGATAGAGACAGAGACAAATATATAGACAGAGACAGATATAGAAAGAGAGCTGTATGCAACAAAATTTCATTTTGATGTATGCCAATTGGTGTACATTCAAAGTGACAATAAAGTTCTATTTCTATTTCTATTTCTATTTCTATTTCTATTTCTATTTCTATTCTATTCTATTCTATTCTATTCTATTCTATTCTATTTATATTCTATTCTATTATTATTCTATTCTATTCTATTCTATTCTATTCTATTCTATTCTATTCTATTCTATTCTATTCTATTCTATTCTATTAACAGACAGATAGACAGAAATAGAGATAGAGATATATAGAGAGATAGAGATAGAGAGGGATGCCCAATGCTATGGTACTGTTTCTTCATGGTCCCGACACCCTACGGTATAAGAGGTCCTTTGTGTAAGAGGTACATGGTTCGGTGGTTTGGTATCTAGGGTCTTAGGTCCTCTTCGTATGGGTCCTGTACTCGGTACCACTTCAATAGTAGATGCGACTGTCGGAAGTAGTCCAAAGGGGTGACGTCGGGACACGGACCTTTTATGTTCTATTTATTTATTAATTTATTTAATGTATATGCTATCCATCTGTGCAATAAGCCGATGCTGGGCGGCTCATAGATAATAAAAAGTAGAAAAGCAGTCAAAATTTTAAAACTGTGCCGATTAAAAAATTTTTAAACAAACTATGCAAATTTGAAAATGCAAACTTTTACAGTTCCAAATGAGTAGCACGCTACAAGGACTTCTTTTTCCTTTTTCCTTTATATCCCTGCCTGGCTGGGGAATTCTGGGAGGCGAAGTCCACCCCTCAAACTTACCAAGTTGGACAACTTTGTAAATAATAATAACAACAACTTCCAATCTATGATGACATCTGTAATACTATCAAATATCCACATCTGCCTATCCCAGGTCCTTGGTAAGGGCCCGATAGGTAGACAAAAATGCTAAATCCAGTCTGAACATCTGGCTGACTGTGCGATGATCAATACTACTACTACTACTACTACTACTACTACTACTACTACTACTACTACTACTACTAATAATAATAATAATAATAATAATAATAATAATAATAATAACCCACATATGCCTATCCCAGGTCCTTGGTAAGGACTCGATAGGTAGACAAAAATGCCAAATCCAGTCTGAACATCTGGCTGACTGTGCGATGATCAATACTACTACTACTACTACTACTACTACTACTACTACTACTACTACTACTAATAATAATAATAATAATAATAATAATAATAATAATAACCCACATATGCCTATCCCAGGTCCTTGGTAAGGACTCGATAGGTAGACAAAAATGCCAAATCCAGTCTGAACATCTGGCTGACTGTGCGATGATCAATAGTACTAATACTAATATTAATACTACTACTAATAATAATAATCCACATCTGCCTATCCCAGGTCCTTGGTAAGGACTCGATAGGTAGACAAAAATGCCAAATCCAGTCTGAACATCTGGCTGACTGTGCGATGATTCTCAATAATAATAAAGTTGGAAGGGACCTTGGAGGTCATCTAGTCCAACCCCTGCTCAGGCAGGAAACCTTATACCATTTCAGACAAATGGCTGTCCAGCCTCTGCTTAAAAGCTTCCAGTGTTGGAGCCCTATAAATAGGTTAATGTACGTAAATAATATTCCTGGCAGTGCAACCTTAGACATTGGCACCCAAGCTTCGGGGGAGAGTAACTGAAGGAAGCCGTCTTGTTCTGCTCACCTTTCCCTTCAAACATGCCGATCAGCTGTGCTCCCATAGCCATGGCGACGTTGGAGATCAGGCAGGAGGAGAGCTTCTGGCTGTGGGTCATGTGGTCGTAGCGCGGGGAGATAAAAAAGTACGGAATGTAGGAGAAAAAATAGAGGAAGCCTCCCGCAGCTGCGGCTACGTTTGCTGCAAACACAAAGTGGACATCGACTGTAAAAAGAATCCACGGGGGGCTTCGTGGCC